TATATATATATATATATATATATATATATATATACATACACAGATACATACACCAAGGTTCACTTCACATGTGGACTTTGTACTTACTATGTGGAAAATTATTTAAATTTGCTCTATGTCTATAGGATGTTTGTATGGTTTTTCTGGGTTTAAGATTATGCATGTAGTATCAATATCTGTGCCAAAGTGTTTATAAATAGCTTGATATTTTATTCTACTTGCTTGATAGTAATTTAGTGAAACGTTCAAAAAACTTGAAGGGTATATTGTTGTTTTTTTTTTTAAATGAACCTTGAGAAAGGCAACTAAATTTTAAGTACAATTTTGAAACTTTCAAGTAATGAACTGACAAAGTGTATACTGGTTAGATTAAATAGATTCCTACTTTCATGGTTAGGCTTTATTTTTAAAATTTCAGTCTTTGTTGGGATGAGCCCTGGGTGTTGTATGGAATCCAATTTGACAATAAGTTATACTAAAAAATAAAATTTCAATCTCTCTCAAAGTTTGCAATTAAATATTAATTTAATTGTTGGTACTTGCATATTTTTCCTTTTTAGAAAAGTCTGAAAAAAAGTCAACCAGAGATTACCGTGTCTCTGTAAACCATAAAACACGCACACTGGGCATTATGTGTTTTATAGAAAAGTCATAAAATAAAACCTTAAGGCTTGAAGCAATATGTTTCATTGTAAATATACATTTTCATAAGGGACATCATTTGGGGATAAACTTTATTGTGTAAATAGAGGTGATACCTACAAAACCTGCTATTTCCTTTTTAAGTTAAACACCCATTAGCAAACTTAGCCATCAGCCTCATTCATGCTGCTTTTAGAGTTAGCAACCAAATTAAGAGTTGTTAGACATAGATGGCAATTAAAAAAAATACCAGTACCTTAAAGATTTCTTTGGATTCGATGTTCCTGTTGATTTTTTTCTCCTATGCCACCACTGACACAAACTTTTGTTCTTTAATGAGTAGAAAAAAAAGTTTTAGAGCTTTATATTCACCCTTGGAAGTAAACAGAGCAGACTATGGGTTTCGTCAACAGCCTCAGTCTGGCTACTTAGAAGTGAGGAGTTCATGATACCAGAACAGTAGGATTTGGGTACAAATAAACTACTTCTGGACATAAGGAAAATCGTGCTGACATTTTTGTATCATTATTGCTCCTGTTAAGTAATGTAAATAATTGTCAGTATCCTGGAGAAAATCAGTAGTATCTAATTAGATTGCCTTGTGTGGAGTCAGTCATACTACAGGGGAGGAAAGGGAGGGGAAAGTGTGTGTGAGGAGTGCTTTAAGAGATGACTTCCCAATGTTGGCAATGTAACTTGATCTTAAATTTATGAATGAAGAGGTATTAGGCAGCCAGCAGCTTCTCTGGAGAAATTCTAGGTTAAAAAGAACGGACAAACGGACCAGAGTCCAACAGAGCCACTCCTTCTATTCACTGTCACTATCCCCTGCTCAGTTTCACTGTGGTTCATTCTCCTCATGTCACCTAAAACAGGGTATCAGTGTGTCTGTTCTCCTGGGCAGCCACCTCTGATAGGAACCTGATATTCCTGAGGAGATTCAAAAAATGAAACAACAAAACAAAACCAGGCTAACATAAGTCCTTCTTTCGGTAGCTAGAATTGGGAAAGGAAGTAAAAAGTGGGAGGAGAGAAAATATGGACAAATTTTAACAAGACTTAGAGAATACAGAATTTAAAGCTAAGGGAGAAGCAATTTCTAGGGCAAGGTAATGGAAAAGTTCAGAAGTCCTGGAGGAAGAGCGGAACTAATTGGCTGAGTGATTGATTAAGGAGTGTGAGATCTGGAGGCTGACGGACTAGAGGGACTGGGGTTTGAATCCTAGCTCTGCCACTTGAGAGCTATCTATCCTTGGGATTTATCTTTTCCACACTGTGGTTTCCTCATGTAGAGTGGTAAAATAATAATACCTACCTAATAGGGTTGCTCTTGGGATTACAGAGGCAAAGTGCCCAGCACTGCATCTGGCACATACAAGTTCATTTTGCTAAGTAAGAATTCTAAAACTTATGCACCAGGACAGTGTCACCCCCGTGTCCCCGTGACAAGCCACAAGCTGGCACTAAGGACTAGTGCTTAAAATTGTCTAATTCAGTTGCCTTGTTTTGTAAACGAGGGAACTGGGGTCTACAGGTAAGGTGGGAATAAAATATAAAAAAACCTGGTAGGGGCCTTTGGGTGGCTCAGTCAGTTAAGTGGCCAACTTCAGCTCAGGTCATGATCTTGCGGTCCTTGAGTTCGAGCCCTGCATTGGGTTCTGTGCTGTCGTGACAGCTCAGAGCCTGGAACCTGCTTCAGATCTCCCTCTCTCTGTGTCTCCCCCTCTCTCTGCTCCTCCTTTGTTCATGCTCTATCTCTCTCTCTCAAAAAATAAACATTAAAAAAATTTTAAGAAAAACTTGTCATTTGCCAAGTACACGTTTATTTAATGGTAGAATTTGGATGTATAGATAAATTAACCCAAGTTCTGGTTTTCTTGATATTTAAATTTTTTTAATGTTTATTTATTATTGATAAACAGAGAGAGACAGAACATGAGCATGGGGAGGGGCAGAGACAAGGGGAGACACAGAATCGGAAGCAGGCTCCAGGTTCTGAGCTGTCAGCGCAGAGCCTGACGTGGGGCTCGAACTCACAAACCATGAGATTATGACCTGAGCTGAATTTGGATGCTTAACTGACTGAACCACCCAGGCACCCCTGGTTTTCTTGATATTTTAGATTGAATAGTAACACATTCTGGATGTTTATAACTTTGGGATATTCAGATTTTCAGATTTTATCTGTAATATAGCTTAATAAATTATTGATGACTTATTGTTAATTTTTATATATTTCTAACAAGGTTGTTTCCTTAAATTTTTAAATCTTTTTTTGAAATATGTCACAGATTTGAAATTATGTTACAAAAATAGTAGTACATATTATGTACAGAGAATTCCCACACATTCTGTACCCACATACCCCAAATGTGTTAATATTTTGTCACATTCACCTTCTCTCTTTAAATAAATAATCTTTTCTTTCTTTCTTTCTTTCTTTCTTTCTTTCTTTCTTTCTTTCTTTCTTTCTTTTTTTTTTTTTAAGAACCTTTTAAGGTAATTGCAGACATGGGGCTTTTCTATCCCTAAACATTAAAAAATTTTTTTTTAGTGTTTATTTATTTTTGAGAGAGAGAGAGAGACACAGAGCGTGAACAGGAGAGGAGCAGAGAGATAGGGAGACACAAAATCAGAAGCAGGCTCCAGGCTCCGAACTGCCAGCACAGAGCCTGACGCGGGGCTTGAACTTACAAACTGCAAGATCATGACCTGAGCTGAAGTTGGATGCTTAGCTGACTGAGCCACCCAGAGGCCCCTCTACTCCTAAATATTTTAGTGTGAATTTCCTTAAAAAAAAAAAAAAAAAAAAAAAAAAAAAAGGACAGTCACTTATACAATCATAGTACAGTTATCAAATGCAGGAAATTAACATTAACACAATGCTATTATCTGATCTTTTGACCTAACTCATATTTGCTCAATGGTTCCATTAGAAAACAAACAAACAAACAAACAAACAAACAAAACACATGGTCCAGGAGTGAATCCAGAATTGCATATCATGTTTGATGTCATGTCTCTTTAATTTCCCTTAATCTGAAATGTAGTCTTTCTTTGTCTTGTACTGCCTTGATATTTTCAAAAAGTACAGGCAAGATGTTTTGTAGAATGTTCCTCAGTTTGGGTTTGTCTGGTATTCCCTCATGACTGGATTCAGGTTGTACATTTTTGGCAGGCATGCCCAAGAGAGTGATGTTCTAGTCCTTCCATTGCTTCATAGGTTATTTACTTTAACAGGCCTGAGTCCTAGTGTTGAAAGGATTGTTTTCTTTGGTGTTTATTCTTGCTTTTACATTTACTGTAAAGTTAAAAAGACGTTAACATTAAGAGTTATTGCAGGTTGTTTGTTTTTAAGCTAAAAGATGTAATAAAATGATCACTTCTTATATTCCAGGCAGTCAAGTTCAAATTTATCATACACTCCTCTTTGCCCACTATTCTTAATGAGCTCACTCTTCCCAGACAGGTGCAAGAAACTAGTGAATGTTTGTACCTGGTGAGACAGATAGATGACTTTGTCTTGTCCTAAAACTTTAAAGGGAAAACAATTTTTGTTGTGCACTTAAATTTTCTTCTCATATTGAAAGGGCAGTGCAAGCGAACTTTGAAATACGCCCTTCACAATGAAATTTCTGCAGCCCCCAGACTTCATAGAGTGCTTGCCAACATCTGAGCTATTTAAAACCACTTATGATGCACTTTTCCTTAACCTGTACTTTGATAGCACTATGGGGAGCCTACGTTTTTAAGGAATCATTTCCTTTTTATACATAAACAAGCTTTGGCAATCTGTCCTTTGGTTAATTTGCTGTGTTTGCATTTTCTTCCCTTATCTAGCCAATCAAAAACCCCCCAACAGGGAAGAAATATGTTAGATGCCCTTGTAATTGTCTCCTCATTTGTAAGGACACATCTCGGCGAATAGGATGTCCGAGACCTAACTGGTAAGAGATAAACATTCATTCATTCATTCATTCGTTCATTCAACTAGTATTTATTAAAGGCTTATTATGTGCCAGGCTTTGTCTAGAGTCTTTGTCCTCAAAGTAATTACAGGGGTTAGATTATTATTTTCCCTTTGTTAAAGGAATGATATGGTTAGTTTGAAATTAATGGTCACAAGTATTTATAAGATATAATATTCTTGAATGAGCAATGAAGATTTCTTGATATTATGTCAGTACTTAATGCAGTGTAATAAATTAGTGACTCATGAAACTTATTTAAAAGTAACCACTTATCCTCATTGTTATGTATATAGTGAAGTTATTAGGAACACTTGTAATAAGGATATTTATGAGATCTCTAGTTGCAACCTGTATTCACACTGGTATTATATGAGTGAATGGAATAAATCCATTCTGTAACACATGTAGTCAAATGTTTAAACAGTTGTAATAAAGGTGTTTCTAAAAATACTATTTGTAAGCCATTTCAGACCCCTGTTTCATCAGTGAAGGGAGGTGGCACCCAACTGTAATGTATATATGAGTGATTAAGATCAACTCAAATAAAGATGTTCCAAAGGGAAAAAAATAAGTAAAAGTAACCGCCTAGTTTACCTTTGATGAAATTCATCTTAATCTGGAAGTGTTTTAGTCATCATTATGTACCTTACCATGTGCTATACTGGTCTTTGCTGAACATACTCTATGCAGTAAATTCTGGAGCTATTTGCCCATATCAAATGCCATTATAGATGTGCCCAGATCGGAGTCTGTCAAGACTTTACCTGTGTTTTTTCTGTGATTTCTGGCTCTTTGACCTTTCTATGAATCATTTGCAACCCCATCTGATGGCAGGCGAGGGAAGAGAAAGAAGCCTTCTCATCTTCCTTTTTGTCCAACTGTGATTAAATAGACATCAAGGAATACCAACCTACTCAGAGAAATTTGGTTGTGACTCAGCACTTTGGTACCTTCATGGCACGCAACGTATTTATTGATATGGAATATTTTAACTTTTGTAGTTTTCTACAAAACTCAACTTGTGTTCCTAGATAGGGAATGATAAAAACTATTTTCTGATTTGGACTTATAAGAACTTGAAAAAGGCAGTGAAATGGTTCCCAAGGTCATTGATTAGGATCCAACACTGTAATACATGGTTTCCATCAAAAATATTAAAAACTCTCACTTTTTTTTTTGCTTTTGAAGTATTGCTTATTACTACTTTCTGTGAATTTAGCTTCGAAGCCTGACAATTTATTTATTTTCAATGCTATATTCCATGTTTTTGGTCATATATTACAGGTTTCGCCCTCAGTCCATTTGTGGGATAATGACGTTGTTTCATTTCTCTCTCCACAGTAGACGCATAATTAACCTTGGCCCAGTAATGCTTATTTCTGAAGAACAACCAGCTCAACCTGCATTGCCAGTCCAACCAGAAGGTACAAGGGTCGTGTGTGGGCATTGTGGAAACACATTCCTGGTAAGTAACCGGACATTTGTCACAGTGACATCAATCTGTAACATGTAGGTCACGATCACATAGATTTGACCACCGCTCATGGTCTTGTAGTTTTATCCAAGTGCACTTAATCAGAAGATTTGTGGTTTCTAGATTCAAGAAAAATTCTTATTATAATTTATCAAAATTTTTTCTGCTTTTTAAAAAATTAAACTTGGAGTTAAAGGGAGTTAACTCTGGTGTCCATAATTAGATAAACTACTGGGGAAAAAATAAGAAGTTATAAGTAGTTATAGGAATTCTTGTTCAACTAACTTTTAACTCTAACCCTAAGTTTGATTTTTTTAATACATTTTTTTCAATGTTTATTTACTTTTGAGAGAGAGAGAGAGAGAGAGAGAGAGAGAGAGAGAGAGAGA